CTATCCTCACTCAACGCGTCTATGTGTCCGGCAATCTCCAATACGAATCAACCTGTGAGGTTTCCGTATGCAGCTTTCCTCACTCAATGCGTCTATGTGTCCGGCAGTTCTAGGCGTCACTCAACCCGTTAGGTCTCAACATGCAGCCATCCTCACTCAAAGCGTTTATCTATGTGTTTGGCACTATCCAACATCACTCAACTCGTGGGGTTTCAGTATGTAGCTATCCCCACGCAGCGCGTCTATGTGTCTGGCAAACTCAAAAACCAATCCATCTGTGAGGTTTCAGTATGCAGCTATCCTCACTCAACACGTCTAGGTGTCCGGCAATCTCCAATACAAATCACCTGTGAGGTTTCAGTATGTGTCTTTCCTCACTCAAAGCGTCTATGTGTCCGGCACTATCCAACATCACTCAACTCGTGAGGTTTCAGTATGTAGCTATCCCCACGCAGCGCGTCTATGTGTCTGGCAAACTCAAAAACCAATCCATCTATGAAGTTTCAGCATGCAGCTTTCCTCACTCAACACGTCTCCTGGGTGTCCGGCAATCTCCAATACAAATCACCTGTGAGGTTCCAGTATGTGTCTTTCCTCACTCAAAGCGTCTATGTGTCCGGCACTATCCAACATCACTCAACTCGTGAGGTTTCAGTATGTAGCTATCCCCACGCAGCGCGTCTAGACTGTGTCTGGCAAACTCAACAACCAATCCATCTTTGAGGTGTCAGTATGCAGGTATCTTCACTCAACGCGTCTGGGTGTCCGGCAATCTCCAATACAAATCACCTGTGAGGTTCCGGTATGTGTCTTTCCTCACTCAAAGCGTTTATGTGTCCGGCACTATCCAACATCACTCAGCTCGTGAGGTTTCAGTATGTAGCTATCCCTACGCAGCGCGTCGATGTGTCTGGCAAACTCAAAAACCAATCCATCCGTGAGGTTTCAGTGTGCAGCTTTCCTCACTCAACACGTCTCTGTGTCCGGCAATCTCTCAATGCAAATCACCCTGTGAGGTTTCAGTATGTGTCTTTCCTCACTCAAAGCGTCTATGTGTCCGGCACTATCCAACATCACTCAACTCGTGAGGTTTCAGTATGTAGCTATCCCTACGCAGCGCGTCGATGTGTCTGGCAAACTCAAAAACCAATCCATCCGTGAGGTTTCAGTATGCAGCTATCCCCACTCAAAGCGTCTATGTGCCTGGCAAACTCAAAAACCAATCCATCCGTGAGGTTTCAGTATGCAGCTATCCCCACTCAAAGCGTCTATGTGCCTGGCAAACTCAAAAACCAGTGCATCTGTAAGGTTTCAGTACGCAGCAATCCTCACTCAACACGTCTAGGTGTCTCGCAAAATAAATCACCTGTGAGGTTCAATATGTGTCTATTCTCATTCAACGCGTCTATGTCTTCGGCACTCCAACATCACTCAACTCGTGGGGTTTCAGTATGTAGCTATCCCCACTCAACCCGTCTATGTGTCTGGCAATCTCAAACCTCACTCAACCCTTGGGGTTTCAGTATACAGCTATAAATCACTCAACACGTCTATGTGTCCGTCAATCTCCTACATCACTCAACCTGTGAGGTTTCCGTAAGCAACCCTTACTCCACGCATCCATGTGTCACGCGTCTTTGGTAGCGCTTACTATTGGGGCTATATTTGGGGTGGCGTTTTTTACAGCGCTTTGCCAACAGCGCCAACCCACTTGAGTCTAGATTGGGGGCATGGGGATGTCGCAAAAAAAAACGCTGAGAGAGGGAGCTTGGCCCGGTCCGTGTGCATTCTACAGGAGGAGACGTCCGGTTCTGTTTGTAGGGTGGTAGTGACGGCCAGAGAAGCAGGTACATAGTAAGGGCACGGGTAGCAACAGGAGCAGGATATTGTCAATATTCGAGCTTGGCTGAAGGATGAGGATAGAGATAGAGATGGAACCAGGTCCAAGTCGTCGGGGCTAGGCTACGAGGCACAAACTAACCACTATTTCGACATCAAAAAGTGTGGCCAGCACTACGCGTGTCTAGTAATGAATGTGGCCAGAGCGTTGTAAACTCGGGGCCTGTTCTTGCAGGCCTTGGGACTCAGGCTCGTAGGACAACAGTGTTGTTTGGCTAGGAATCGCTGTCACATGCCTGGACACGATTCATGGGCGATTACGCGCGTTGTCGTCTGCGCTTGAAGCAGGGCCCGGCGTGGAAGGTCTGGACATCAGCAACGTGCACGTTTGCGCCGACACCGACATATCGTGGCCCCTGCTGGACAGGAGTCGGTCCTGCGTCTCCTTGCAGCAACTCGTGAGTTCGATGGCAGATGAGAATGGCCGTCCGTTTGAAGGCAGTCAGTTGTTGCGCGTATTACATTTCTTCGCGTCTTTTTTGGCAGCCTTGGTTTCGACATTTTCATGACAAGTTTTGGCGAGCCTTGAACTATATCATCCTTTCTCTCATTCGTTGCATTCACGGTTTAGGGAACACGGAGACTCCTGTTCAAGACGACACATTCGAGAGACCAGGCTAACACATTTGAGACAAGGGAAGCTCGCTGCTTCTTCTGTAGTGTGCCGTAGAAACGGTGTTGAATTGGCACAGGCATAGTTAAGTAGCCGCAGTAAAAAGCGTCCCAGCGTAAGGAAAGCGAAGCAAACGTCAAGGAGGTCGATGTTGGATGCTTTTTGTCGACTCACGTTGTTCTCGTTCTTTTTGTCGTCGACGTCTTAACAGATCAACTGAAACCCGCTTGCTTCCTATCAAAACCTTCAGATATCCTTTCCCCTCTCTACCAACACGCCCTACATCGAAGACCGCCCCTAATTTGTGTCCGGCTCTATGGCAGGGATCGCTCAGGGATTCGCCCAACAACCCACTAAACTGATTGGTACCGAGTAGGCCCTTTTTCTAACCCCCCCTCAATCCCCTGAATACAAGGCCTCCTCCGATCAAGACAAGCCGTATCTAGTTTTCGGCACCGCGATTGGAGTTGTGGAGGGGACCGTTAGCATTCGGGACGCTCGACCGACGTGTACACCTCCCGGTGATCTACGGGGCCCCGTCTTGGCGATGGAGGAAAATCCTCAAGAGTTCGCTTCAACGTCCATGCGGTTTAAGGTTCGTGTTGATGAGGAGTACGGGTACGTACAGCGTTTTGGAGGCCGCTACAATGTATAAGTGTGTTCGTCGGTAAGCTTTTATCGTGACGGTGTCCAAATTGTTTGTTGTTTTCGGTTGAGAAGCTTGATAACACGCCGGGCGCGATTACGAACGAAGAACTACTTTAGTCACCACGACCGCAGCATGCTGTGTTAAGAAGTTGAGGAGCTACCCCGCGAATCGCTCTGCACCACCAGACAAGCTCTTCCGCTAAACCATCGCGTACCGCAGGTTACATACCGACCGTTTAAAGCTTTCCTTCTCCCCCAATATTTATGAGGCGCTATGCCATGTACCAAGAGACAGGGTTCTTCCGTTGTTTCTGCAGGTAATTCACCATGAGAGCATGTTTCGCCGTCGGGGCAAGCCTCTCGGACCCGCTCCGTTCGGTAGAGGCTTCGCCACGACCCAGGAGTACATCCAAGAGCTAGAGCGAGAGGCAGACGAAGAGCTTGGGTGAGTTGAGAGTGCGAGGAGGACTAAACGCACGTGTGGACCATACAATAAGACGAGTTCAGCCTGCGACGCGGGTATGACAATCGCATAAAAGGGTCACATGATTTGGTTTTGCCCCATGAGAGTCTAACGAGAGGACCAAGAAAAGAAAAATGGTAACAATTGCACAAATATCTATGAGTGAGAGAGGAACAACGTGCGTTTTTTCTTTGTGTTGCTTAAAGTCAAGTAGCCAAAGAGTATCTGCTTGCGCAAAGCTCCAACCTGTTCAGTTTATGGTTCGATGGGTGACCTGAACCAACCCGCTACCCTCTGTAAGCTAACAATGATAGCATCCTTTCGGCAAGATGGAGAAATACTCGTGCGTTGATCTGCACCTTGGTGCAAGACGCGAAAGCTGCGAGGCCCCTGTTGCTAACATTACGTCTACCCGCCCCTCAAAAGAAAGCTACAGTAGCTCCCTTACTGTGCATATCGCCGCTTTAGACAAGATGGAGAACTTCTCCAACGATACCACAATACTGCAGACGAGACGGAGAGCCACTTCAAACTTCCCTGCCCTCTACTGTATGAGTCTTTGGTTTGGGAGCGCCCCATCTACTCTTTCTACGCTACCCGACGTTGACGGCGAGCGGAACTTGCAGCCAGGCGGGGAGAGTTTTACCCTGTCCCCATCCTACCCTTGTTTTGCACAACGTGGCCAGCAATGCCCGGACTGAGATTTTGTACCTCTACTTGTACCTCGACACTGCACCCTACACCAAGTAACCGTCGGCCCCTCGCGCAAAAGCTATCGCTAGCTCGGCCTGACCCCCTACATTCCCCAAATCCTTACAGCCAAGGCGCGCAGTCCATTGCATTCTTTCAACATGTACTCGCAAGCCGCAACAACTTGCGTTCGCTTAGTCTTTGAACCGTACGCGCAACCTCTTGTCTTGCTCCACACAACCTTGGCAGCGCCGCTTTGGACGCGACGGAGCGCTTCGTGAACACCACGTATTCCCCCGTGGTGCAGACGGGCAAACAAATGTGTTCCTCGAGGCTAGTTCTCGAAGACCGAGTCACGTCGCTGTTTGCTTCCGCCTTTCAGCTAGACTTTCACATTGATCAGGTGGGAGAGGGACCGAGCTCGGATACACTAGGCTTAGCGTTCAGGGCTTCGTATTGAGTGGAGTAGGGGTTGGGTGATGTTGTTGGTTGTCTGGTCTGCAAGCAGGTTCGCCTCTCTCCTCCAGGAGCTCGGAAAAATAATAAAGACAATCTGACTATTTTGATACCTGTAAACACCCCGACGAAAGAAGGAGTGATTGTGCCGCAACTGTATCGCGCTGCCAGCGAGTTTTCTTCGACCAGCGCCTAAATCCCTCTCTTCCGTCAAACGGTTGGTTGCTTCTTTCATGTTCCGCGGGCTTGCGGCATGGGGGCGCGCCTCCTCCTCTGCGCCCTCCAAACCCAAAGATCTCGTGGATGCTTTCTACAGGAAGGTTGCCGCCGGAGATGGCCTACGCAGTTGATGGCCTCAAAGAGGTACGAAACGTACCTATGTGGATGTAGCTGCTACGAGGAGTAGTTGCGCACCGCACGTTGAACCAATTTTCAAAAGACGACCGATGCTTGGGCTGATCTACCTGTCCGGTGTCAACATACTTCCCCTATAAAGGTGAAAGGCTTGTATCCGACTAATCCGGCCGGCGAAGACCTTCCGGGAGTAGTGCTTTGTCTCGGACCCAGCTGGAGATCAATTGGGTCATTTTTCCAGAAGGCTCTAGTGCTGCCGGCGCCATCGGCGGACAACGTGGCCTCGCTCTCCCCGCTACAAACGTGGGAGTACGATGAGATACCCTGGATGGAGGTGCGCAAACTGGTCTTTTTACTATTGATATTGCTGGTGGTGGTGTTTGCATTAGCGTTGATTTCATACACGAAAGCAATAGTTGCTCGATAATACAACTTAAGTAGACCGACCCTGAAGCATTTCATGACGAGCACGAAAGCTGCCGGCATGTTCAAGCACACCTAAACATCGAAAACGGCATAGTGAAGCACTACAAACATGGCACTAAACATTCGAAGCAATGACAAAAAAAAAAAGATGGTGCTGAAGACCAAGGTTGCCTGGAGGGTGATGACAAGATTTTCACCCATGCTCGTTCACCCATGCTCGTAAACGGCTCAAGCCTGCCACTCTTGTTGCCCACACCGCTGTGGTTTCTGCTCGGGTATCAGCTTGTCGGCAGGACCAAGCTTCGCCTCGCTCAGCGCCCGGACACAGAATGAACTGTGGAGCAGCATGTTTTCCCGACAGATTGGTCTCCGAAGAAAAGAATTATGTGTTCCCCACGTGTAACGTATCAATTGAAATATTGAAATGCAGGCGCTGAATCCTAACGTCGACTGGAACGCGGTGGAGGAGGCGTATCTTGTGAACGGTGCGGTGAAAATCGTGCATATCGACGGGTTCTTCTCACAGAAAGCGCTAGCCGCCTTGCTCGACATAGCCCACGGATCGAGCATCTTCGTCGACGTCAGGTATATACCTTGCGGACCACGGGAACGAAGCTCGAATATCCAACCGCCCTCCTTGTGTCCAAAATGTTCCAGAAGGGACGAATAAGGAAGAATTCACATCTCGCCTTTCAAGAATTGGGCATGTTGACCTTCAACAGGCTCGGTAGGCTACAGAGAAATACTCTAGGCGGACTCCCGCCATCCGAAGGGACGAGCCAACAAAGGTTCAAACACATGACCCTTCTTTCAGCACAGATAGATGTCGAGAAGGACACTATTAGACACACCGGCTGCCACAGGCAAACATATTGTAGCTCGTCTAGTCCCTTACTCCGAGAGGGAGGTGGCGCTCCCACGAGGTGCATAGTGTAGCAACATGAAGAGACAGGATTGGGAATTAGGCAATCAATCAAGAAACGTTGTGCCACGTTGGAGAGGGCCCCGCAAATGGCGCTAAGCGTACCAGCTTCAGCGCAGATGTTCCGGCCTGGCCCTGCTCGCTCGGTAGGGACCCAACCACCGAGTTATTGATGCTGAAAGATCATGGCAGTCATGAATCAAAACAATACGAAGGTGTACCGATTCTGCTAAAAGTCAATTGACGGATACCCTGCGAATCACGTCATCCTTAACGACACCCATTTTTTTCGTTTTTCTCTGCAGGGAAAATTACCTGGGGGCCTACCCCGGCGAAGGCATGAGTCATCCTCTCCTCTACCAGATCGCCGAAGAAGCGGCGGTTCGCCTTCCGAGGTAAACCGGGGTGAAGACCCTGTCGTCGTCGACGTTGTCGCTGTTGTTGTGTTCACACTACAACCTCCCTGCTCAATATCACTCGCCGTCCTACAGTAGAATCGTATTATTTTATCTAGTCCAACGGAGACGATATGAAAAAAAATATATATATGCATATATATGAAGAAGAAAGGAAGTTTGGGTACAGGCACACAGACCCCTAATTTACTACAAACGAATCTAACAACGCAACCAAAGCAAGGGCGTCACCACGGTTCAGTGCAACAGTCCGTATTCCAATCACCATTTTTTCATCAAAGGATCCATTTACCATGGAGGCCTGGCCTCCATTTACCATGGAGGCCAGGCCAGAACAAAAGTTCGTGAATCTGCCAAATAAATCTCGTCGAACGGAGGATCTTGAACAACTGTTAGCGGCGGCTGGTTTACTCATTTGCGGGTTTCATCGGGCACACAATCAGGATCCTAGGACGTGACACTCCCGGCTGGCCACTGGCGCAGACGTGGTTCTACATCTACGGAGGGAACGATGGAGAAAGATGCATGCGCGGCATAAGGGTAAGGGAACATCCCGAACACAGATGGATGCGAAAAAGCATTGACTCCTTGCGTCATTTCTTGAGGTGGTACTGCAACAACAGGTGCCAATTTGAGTGGACGCAGGGGGCGTAGCGAGCAGACGGAACCTAGTGCGTGACGTAGGTCAAATGATCGGAAGGTTAAGGTTGTGCACACACGGCTGCTGGCCATGCCAAGTGCAGGCTTGGGTCGACGATAGCCCAGGCTTCGTGTGTTCACCTGGAAAAACATGCGTTGCCTACTGCGAAATGTGGAGTTAAGGTTCACGCGTCTAGTACATTCAGCCAAGCCAGCTGTACACACCAGACGGCTCAAATAAACTTCACCCCGATGTCGACACGGCGGCGTTCTTGTCGGTGCAAGGTGCATGCTGACACCGCAGAAATTAACTTGAACATTTGGTTGACGGACGACTCCGCCAACCTGGGCAGCGTCGAGACGGACGACGGCGGAGGTCTGACGGTGTTCCACGCCAAGCCTCCAGGTGTGAAGAGTGGGTTTGTGCTCATGATGACGGCGAAAGTGATGGCCATACAGTTGGAGTCAATCCGCAAACCGAGGCAACCCAGGAGTGTGATCTTGGCCACAAAACTCGAAGCTCATCACCACCGAGCAGCTTGTTTCCCACGGAGTTAAGGCGGGGCGAGTCGTCCTTCTCTCACGAAGCAGAACGTGAGGTCTACCCAGAATACCAGGGAAAAGCGAAGACGATCGGAATCCATCCTAAGAGCGAGCGACAGACGAACCGATAAAAGCGGCACTTCTACCTCCATCATACCTTAATTTTTCGACACTGACCGACGCACGCACAACTGCATACGATCCAACACGGTTTCACTATTGAGGGTTGTACAACAACATTGGGGATCCAGTCCAATCTTCTTGAGCCCCATGACCCACTTCGAATGAATGAGGAGCTGAGAGTTGCAGGATCGACAACAGTCATTTTTTGCACCTACCCCTAAATCCCCCGCCCTCTCTCCCCCTATCTCATGCCCGCCCCCCCTTGTTTGATTCCCACCAACCACCCGTGTACCTTGAATGTGGGGTTTTTCCTCCTGGCAGGCGACTGGGGCTTCCAAGAGTTTAACCAAGACCCCGACGCCATTCAAGCCTTCCTTGAAGCAAACGATGCCGGGAACACTTCAGTCCCATATCGGCAGAACCGCGCCCTTATGTTCGACTCCATGCTGTTTCATCAGAGCGACCCCTTCCGCTTCAAGAAAGGTATTTTACGGCTTGCGACAAAGCTGCTTACGTGTTTTGGCAGCGTGCACATCCGAGAGAAGGAACAAGCTATCGTCGCACAAGATTTATTCATTACGGACTGACTGGTTGCTGTGGTGATGATGAAATAATACGCGTTCATGCACATGCCTCGCGCTCCTCCACGGCACCGGGAGCTTCATTTCCATTTGGGAGGCAGTCTTGCTGGTGTAGTTACACTAGGTTCCATATAAGCAATTATCTTGTCACTCCTTGGCGCTGAACGACGAGAGTTCTCCTTCTTGCCGTTATCTGAGGACGATGATATATATCTGGTGGTGATAAAGGTGATGATGATGATGATGATGATGGGGCTGATGATAGACCAACAAAGCATCCTCATCCGAAGGTACTGGCCAAGTTCCAACTCGGTGTCTTGAAAAACATCGCCATCTTCTCCAAAAATTGGAGACCACCATCTTCGATATTCTCCCCCTCGTTCTTACATGTCGTCAAGTCTGTAGAAGGACAAGAGGGAAAACAAAAAATATGACGCCGACACATATATCGAGCACACAGCGCTATCCCCGACGCAACGATGCGCTGAATTCTCGCGTATCAACACGGTCACCCCATTGCGGGACCTGCACTACGCATACTTATAGACAGAAAATTACGTCTATTGCGACAATGTTGGATGAAGTGCAGGTTGTCTATTAGGTATAGCTACATAAACAACATTTCGTTTATTTGCTCTGCCCGAACGCCCAAACGAACGACGGGAAGGTTTCAAAAATAGGCGGCTGAACCTCACGCTTCTGTTCGGGAGTCGAGGAGAGTTATTTCCTGCGCCAGGACACGAGAAGAAGGGCGCCGGTGCAGCTGAGATCGACGTACTTCACAAGGAACATCGCGAGGTGGCACCTTGGGAAGCAAGTCAACTGCGGTACTGCATATAGCACCGATAACGTGATGAAGCACCTTGCGTTTCTTCGACCCGTTTGCGTGTAAACCTTCGATGGGGGCAGAATACCAATGGCATGCATTCACACCCCAGCATTCGGTTTTGTCCAATGAGAAGGTAGGTCATGAGGCAGCCTCTACCTAGAATTGCCGGGGAAGAACCTTGTTTGAGCTGTAGACTGGCCGTACAACGGGTGGTACTGAATAAAAACGAACTCACATTTTAGACGGGGTATATCGCAGAGACGTATGCCACCTATGATGTCTACAAGGAGATACGGGCTGATTTGAGAACGTAAAAACAATGTAGCCCTTACTTCATGACATCCCTGGTCGGGGTCCTGACACTAAGAATAGACTAGCGTCTTGCTTGGACCTGCGTAGACTATACGTATGTCGTAGCAGGCGGAAAATCAAATCTGTTGTTTTTTTAAATTTAGCTCCGGTTACCATTCTGTTAAGGAGGCCTCGATCCGCAGGGTATCTGTCGATTGACTTTTTCCTGAATCAGTACACCATCGCATATGGCGTCAGCTGAATACTGGTTCGAATCTCCTTGGGTGCACACTTTTTCTTACCCCTCCAGCCCCTTTTAGTCGAAGTGGAAGCCTCCGACGAGAGCTCTGTGTGTGAGGACTGTTTCGAGTCCGATGTGTCAGATGAGCGGCGGGCACGTCCTGAGCGGTGATTTCGGTGTGGGTTGCGTCCTGCAGGGCATCTATACGAGGTCATGCGCTTTTTTCCACCGACCCCAAAGGGTGGGATCGTTTTCCATACAGAACTTGATGTCATTGTTAAGCAAGCCGGTGGCGTTCACGAAACCACGATTACAGGATTTGAAGGAGTGGTCTTCTCCTAAGCAGTTGAGGCACTTGCCCTTGTCCAGTCGAAGCGCGTTGCGGCGTTCTTCAGCCGAGACCAAGGGGGTGAACAATGGCGGATCATTCTTGGTTAGAGCCATTTCACTAGCGACGTTGTACGCCTCTTGGAAGTGTCCTTGCAACGGCCAGTCACTGTAGTGCAACAGAAAAGGGTCCCGATCATCATTAGGTAGAGGGTCACCACTCATCACGGCGGCCGAAGAACCTTGGCTCCACGAAGGGGTCACCGTCGAACGCAACGCCGAAGAAGCTACAACACGCGAAACAACAGACGAACTCCTAGCATTTGTGGAAGATACCGAAAAGAAATCATCTTCATGCACCGCCGGCGTGTGCGCGAACGCAGTCCCACACATCCCACATATCATCCTGACACGAAGCATGTCGCCCAAAAGGGGCTTCCATGGAGAGCTGCTCATCCTTGTACACCTGCCCAGACACTACCGGAAACTGCTTCAACATGAAGTCTCGAACAGCTATCTGCACTTGCGCATCCGAAGGCTTGAACATGTGGTGGGAAACCATGACGGTCATGGCCAGAGCCTTATAGCGACGAATGTATTCTCCGTAAGTCTCGCCGTTGGATACGCCAAAACTGCGAAGACGATCAATCCCCGAGCTCTTGTCTTGAGTGTCCCAGGCAGCCGCCAATTTCTGGATGAAGAAGGCGTACGTCGAGGGCCCTGCCGGTTCCTTGCGCAGATGGTTTTCTACCTATAGGAAGGTGGCATAAAAAAATTCCAGCGTGGCACGGTTGGTGGTTTGGCCTTCAACGACAGCAGCACGGACACGTTTGCGCAACAGCGGAAGCCATCCGTTGACCTAGGTGGAGGAATTGAAAGTTTGCTTGCGCTTGACGTCGTTTTTGCTGAGGATCTCTGTGACCACACCCTTGCAGCTAGACGCGAAACGAGCAAATTCATCAGGATCAGGACCGAGGGGCAAGCGTGTGACACTATCAAGTTGTTCCGGCTTCAACTTGTCCATCTTGTCTCGAATGCGGATGGTGTCGGCCTCCGTTGCAGCGGCGTCCGCCGCGTCCAGAGTCTCCTGCCTCGCTCTCGCTCCTGTGGAAGACAAAGGCAAACCAGCATCGTCCTGTGGCAACGGTGATGCCGCTTTCTCTGGTGGCTCGACGATGTGGCGGGTTGCAGANACCACCAAAGGCTGTTGCAACAGGGCTGAGGCTGCCGACGCTGACGGTGCCACCGCATGCTCGAACGGTACTGTCGCCGACCTCGTGGCTGATGACGATGATCCTGACGTGGCCCTGGCAGCGGTTTCGGCACGAATATCGCGCCCTACAGGAGCTCCCGAAAAGCTCGGAGCGTGGTCTTGCAGCGGTGTCAGATATGTTCGTGGGGAAGAAGATGGGGCAGGTGGTGGCACGCTAGGAGCGTGGGAGGGCACAGGAGGTTGTACATTCGCGTCGGCAGCAGCATCCACTACTTGATTTGCTCGCAGGAGAGTGAGTACTTGTTCCAACAGCATTTCAGTACGGGAAGCCGAAGTCGAGGCGTGTGATGCAGCATGGCGTGGTGACTCAACAGGTTCGTCCAAAGGCAAGGAAGATGTGGGATGATCCATAACGGCATGGGCAGGGGCATGGCTTTTCACAGCGGCTGAATGTTCACGAAGTTGCATGTTGGCAAGTTTGAACGCCGAAGAAGACATGGTCGGTTGGCCTACATCAGCGGGACGGCGTAGAACAAGCGGTGAANTGGTCGGTTGGCCTACATCAGCGGGAGGGCGTAGAACAAGCGGTGAAGAACAGAGAGAACCGTCTCCTGAAGCATCCTTGTTTTCCCCCAACAACCCAGAGCTACGAAAACCACCCCGATCATGCATCACATGCCTGTTACCATGGCCTGACCTCCGTCCCCCTTTTCCGCCGCGACTGCTGTCAGTGCTGGTCGCCCTGCTGTTGCCCCCGCTCCGGTTCTGGCTCCGGCTGCGGCTACGCCTAGACGAAGGCGTGTTTCTCCCACGACGGTCTCCGCTCCGACTGCGCCCTCGCCTAGACGAAGTATTGGTGCGCTGTTGACGTCCTGCGCTCCGACTCCTGCTCCGGCGATGGCGGCTCGCCGGCGAAGACCTGGTAGGCTGGTTCCCCACGGCTTGCCCTCGCCCTTTATCTCCGACACCGCGCCCTCGCGAAAACTGGGTGGAGCGGCGGTGGTCGTCCGTCACGCTCTTGGCCGTCGAGTCTTGGTCACCCCAACGGTTCTTCCAGCTCTTAGACGCAGGAGCCGCCGACCGACTGTAATCCTTGTTCCCTACAGAAACATGTGCAGGGCGTGAAGAGGCCTGCCGGGGGGCTTGTAGATCGTGCTTGAAATATTGGTTGGAGGCAGCACGAGCAAGAGGAAGCTGGAGTCCTCCGTCTTCAGTCACCACCGACGTTCCTTGAGGACCGCTACGAAAGGTGGCACGACGGAGAGCGAACAAAAGCCGGAACACGGACTGCCGCGAAGAAGGCGGAAGTTTCGCGATGTAGGGGACATGATAAATGTGCCCGAAAGCAACGGTGTGCGGTTGGGGAAATTGCGCATGGACGAGTTGTTTTATGCCAGCCCATGCAAAAAGAGCTGCCTGTTTGTCCTCATCGTGGAACGCTACTTCTGCTGCAGGCATCTCCAGCGGGCGGGACAGGAACGCTGTATCGCCAACATGCAACTCGTAAACCGTGGTTGCGGCCGCAAACGATGCTCCGTCTTCAGCACCGGCCGGAAGACCTAACGTCACCGAAAACTCCGGAGTCGCTGCCCTCTCCCGCTCCTTCTCGTTCGTCGGAGTAGCAGCCACCTCCCGCTCCTTCTCGTGCGGCGAGGCGGTACTACGGGAACCAAGGGGCACCTGGGATTGCGTTGGGGGAGGGACGATAATACGAGGACTGGGGTAGGGGGAAAAAGCTGCTGCTCGCGGGTCCTGGTGGCGGGGCTACAGGTCCTCCAGCCGCGATCGGAGCGCCACCTGCTTCGCCCTAGCAGCTTGGAGATACGCCTCACGCTCCGCCAGAGCAGTCGCACGCTCCTCCTCCTGCTTCCTCGCAGCAGCAGCCCGAGCAGCCTCACGCTCCTCCGCCTGCTTCCTCGCAGCAGCAGCCCAGCAGCCTCACGCTCCTCCGCCTGCTTCCTCGCAGCAGCAGCACGAGTAGCCTCACGCTCCTCCGCCTGCTTCCTCGCAGCAGCAGCCCGGGCAGCCTCCCGCTCCTCCTCCTGCTTCCTCCCAGCAGCAGCCCAGCAGCCTCACGCTCCTCCGCCTGCTTCCTCGCAGCAGCAGCCCGAGCAGCCTCACGCTCCTCCTCCTGCTCTGCGTCCTCGCGTTCCGCCTTCTCCCGTGCTTCCGCGTCTGCGACCTTTCTGGCAAGACCGTTGCACCACATCTCGTTCAACGCTTGATAGGCCAAAAACTCATCGTAGGGTAGGAGGAGCAATTTTTCTTCCGGGGGAAGCGAGAAAGGAGGAACGAAAAGAGGGAAATCAGACGACAACGGGCCGCTACGACAATATCCTCCAAAGAGATACGTCCAGCCAGTGTTGTAGGCCCGCTCCAGTTCCGCCGGATCTGCCGTGGCGATGTTGGCCAGCAAATTATCGAAGGTGAACACGACGGGCATGGGGTGGCTCTCGTCTCCCGGACCGGCCGCTGGAAACTGCTCTGCGGTGGGAGCCTCGCCCTCGGCTTCGTAATCCAGGATTTCCACATTGTCGCCCAGGAATTCCACATTGCCGCTGGACATGTTGTCCTCTTATTTAACAAAGACAGGGCCAGAGAGAGGGTAGCTACGATCGATTGCGGAAGGGCAGCAGGGCCAGAAACAGCATATGTAGGACAACCGATCGCAGTTGAGGCAGCAGAACCAAGAGCAGCAGAAGCAGTAAAGTCGGGTGCAACTTCGGGAAAAGCAAGCCGAGGTCCATGCGAAAGGCGGAGATATCCACAGGATAGTGTTAAGGAGGACCCGATGGACTTTTTTTGCATGAATCGAGTCCTCGTTAACAATTCGAAGCGCGCGAAACACCCTTCAGAATGGGGTAAACGATAAGGAGACGAACAGTGTTCTCCGGTTTCAGCGAAGCACCTCCAAGTCGGAGTTCGTGCCACGGAGCAACCGAGCCCGGTTTCGTTTTGGGATGACTAGTCATGTAGCCGGTCGCCCCGTTGGTCTACAGCAGTAGTGTCAACCTCGAAACACAGCTAGTGGCTCAGTCGTGAGTTCGAATCCCCATCGGGTGAAAAATTACAACTTTGCGGGGGAAAGCGAAAAAAAAAGCTGAAAAGCTCACGCTATGGATTCATTGCTAATCTATCTTAGACGTATTTCTACAGATAGAGATGGATTTGTTGTGTGATATTAAGAAAGAAAAAAAAAGCTCTTGTGAGTACCAAACTTCGACGTTGGCATCGTCGACGAGGGAAAGAGACGACTGGACCCTTCTCGCGATAAAAGAAACAAATTCAGCACGCACCGCAGGAGAAAGGTGGGGCACGAAACAAATTGAAAAAATAAATAAATAAAAAAGCCCCGATGTTTACCCCATCCTGTGTGACTCTGGACGGTTGTAGTTGTACGAAAAAATACATTGAAAAGTGTAGTACTCTATAGTACATACACGTCTCACCACGAATATGGGAGGGCTGTCGCCATAAAAGATAAGACGAAAACATATACACACATGCAGACAAGCGGCCCAGCATGCCGGTGTGACGAGCATCCTGGGACAAGCAAGCGTGACCAATCGCTGCCATCGGTCAAGTAAAAACAAGTAGAAATCAGATTTGCGTAGAATAGGGTAAGATGTTATCATGAACGGAGAAGAAAGGGCTTTTCCAACACGGAGATGTAGCATGGATCAAAGCATTTGTTGGATTTCAGCTTTTACAAGACGACATCAACGCAGTATTCTAGTATTTTAGCAAGCTTACGAACGCATGTAGGATACCATGAGGATTGTCATTGGTTTTATTTCAAATTGAAGAGGAGATATTTTCACGATGTAAGTGACAGTAGAAATAAGTCCTACATATGTTGTTGTACTTCGTATTGGTTTAATATTCATGTAGAGTATGAGGCATTACGTGAAAGTTTTCTGAAGAAGTACATCTGCAATTAATTGTCGGAAGGAAAAAAAAAAAAAAACTAGAAATCCCAACAGTTCCCCCGAGAGACGGCCGGAGCTGTCTCCATTATAGATTGATTCTGTTTGTGCCCCTGTTCATGTTTTCATGCCTGCCCTCTAGACGTGTCTACACTTGGAGAACAAGCGCTTCGTTGTACATTGCAGGTCGTTCGACTAACCCTCGTCGACAAGCTATGAACCGGGAGACACTACGCTGATCTGTTTGTCCCCGCAAGGTCGCATAAACGGCGTTCACGTCGACTTCGCCGACAGAGGACCATGAAAAGACCGTACAAAAAAAAATACGAGCCTTCCCAACGTTCGAGCACTCGTGGCCTCGCAACACGTACATACTCACATCGCGACGAGGCTTTCATGAGATTCGTCACTGAGGCCCCCTTCAGTCAATCCAGTGGAACAACACTAAACGGGAATAACATCTAGGTATCAAAATCAAGTAAATGAAAAAACATGAAGTCACCTGAGAGGGAGTCAGATAGCTAAGCCCCGAAAAACATCGTACTTTGGAAGCTTCTCCCACGTCCCAATGTAAAACACAAATGGATCGTCCAAACCACCCTACCCGCCCAAGGCCTATATGGTGCATTCCATGCATGAGTGTTCCGAGACTGGTGCCGCCCTCGACTTTGTCACACCTAAAGGGTAAATAACACACACAACAAGTTCAACATTACTTGCAATAACAAGGGCACCGTCATTTCGTCCACTACGACCATACCAAGGACCACGGCCCCCAACACGCCTCTTGGTCTATTGGTATCCCTACCGCAAACAATACAGGAAGGAGTGGAGAACGCGCTGATACACCGTCATTGAGGACGTGGTCCTCAAAAAGCGGTATGCACACATGAAATATGTAACGTGGTTTGTCGATTTTGCGACGCGCGCACCATCGTCTCGCTCTCCGGGGTAGGTTCCGCTCGCAACACCGTATCAGTGTACCCCACATTGCTTTGAACATGTTGGAGTTCAAGGTAGCTCGCTCGGCCGGTGCGGATGCACAAAATGACCGCTGGTGGAGGAGCGCCTAGACGCAATGCAGGGGAACCATAAGCGTAAGCGGGACTACAGTACAGTAGTGGTGAAACAACTCGGTAAAGCCACAACCTAGCATATCACAAGAGCAATCTCCGTCTGGATCTGACACATTTTCCAAGACAAGGAATCACACATCCAAGACGACGATGGCCTCGTTGAACGAATCACCGTCAACTATGGTGCCGTTCGCGAGACCTGTGAACACAACATATAAATCGATCATCTTGCCCGTTGTTGCGCAGCAACTCCAAGATGGGCGGCAGAGAAGACTAGATTAACAGACATTAAACACACACGCAGGCACACGCACGCATGTTCAGGTTGGCCCACAGGCAAACTTCGGTGTCGCGCGCACGCGAGGAATAGCCCCGGCCCGGTCAACGCCAGCCCTTGTCGCTGACATGCTTGGAACTGCAGTGCACCAGTCCTCACTCCAGCAACAACGACCATCCCTCTGGCCTGGGCACAGGCCCAAGAGCATCATCCCGATGACGAAAGACCGGTTCTACGACCGAGGTACGACACAAGAGCCGAGGTCACTGGTCGTCGCTGAGGTGCAACTCCTGAGCGAAAGAGTTGCTTGGCTAGCCTGATTGGCGAGTGGCGAGGACAATCGCTTCCTTGGTGCGTACATTGCCAAGAGCCACATTCCCAACGGTAGTGTCGTCGTACCGTCGCCATCGCTTCCCTTCGAGGCGCACACAAGCAGTGAAATGGCCTCGGCCGATGGTCTCGCACCGGTGGTGTACAACTCCGTTGAGGCCGTAGAGGGCGGGTTCTGTGGATTAGGACAAGAACGCGGCGGGGTAGGGAATGTTGAAGCGTAGAGACGAAGGTGACGTGACATATTTGGTTGTTGGATGACCCGACAAATACAGTGATGTAGAGAACCGTGTGAGGTGACTTCTACCGCACTCAAAGTGGTCCACCATTCACGACCACTAGCTTGCTTGAAGGGCCGCACCGACGAGGTGTGGTGTTCACTTATGTGAGCTTGAGGCACAGCACCACAAACGTCAGTACCGAGATACCGGTACATATCATGGGGGGGTCTTATTGCATGTAGAGCCAGAACATGTCCCGAAGCCAATAACGGTCACGTAACTCCACAGAACTCGTGCCCGCGTTCGTGAACAACATCGTATTCCGACGACATCCACAGCAACCGACAACAACAACAACAACAACAACATCAACAACAACAGCAATGATCACCATGTACAACCCGATCAAGCTTTTTGCTGTGCGGCGCGGCTGTGCCGGGCTTCGCGGCGAAAGGCGCCAGGACAATCGTCGAAGGGAATTGAACATCTTTGGTGAGCTTCCTCTCGCCGCTGACTCCGTGTCGATGAGGAAAGGAGGAGCACAAAAAGGTATCTAACTCAAGTAAAAAAAAACAAAACATGGAGACCAAAGGAGTCACGCTTCTAGGAATCCGAAGATACAAGCAATCCAGTATAGCCAATTAGGGCCTTCGGCAAAAGCCCGATCACCCTTGAGTTCATGAGGGAATCCCATCCTCCCTGTGACAGATGCAATATCCTGAAAGGGAAGTTGGATCCTCACCCCTCCTTTCACTCTCATACCTTGCCAAATCGGCCCGCATCACTTGATACAGTGAGCACTTCCTCGCCCACACCTTGCCAACCTGTCGTGGAGGGTCACCGCTTCATGGACCTTAAGTTCATCAGAGTAGAGACCTTCCATGCCAACTATGATTGATCCTCGTCGCGCAAAAGCAGCATAGCCATCTGCCGTACCAAGAGCCACCGTTGGTACAACTTGCACCACACTCCACAACGAAAATTGTCATTTGCCCACACACACGTCCATCAACCATGATCAAGAACGGCTTACCCTTCGTAAGCGAACCGCAGGTATATATATGTATACGGTGCTGGCATGTGGAGAGCCAGCTGTGCTCCTCCTGCTTGCTTCTCACACGTCATCGTTGTCCTGTGAACAACAGGTGACAGAGAACACGATACCTCATTTGCTAGCGGCTACAACGCTGGCAGGGCCTGGATTAAACGGTTGCCATGTCGCATCCGTGATCGAGTTCAAAGCTTGATCGACACTCTACTTAACATACTCCCGAACCCCCTACGGAAGCATCTCCCCGATGTATGTATACGCTTCCGAGCGACCAAAACATGAATCGAACCCCCTACCCCATTCCTGAGGTGTTAAAATGCACACTTGCTGTTGCCGGAAGCCATCAAATCGACCTGTCGATCTACACCGCTAAGGGGCCAAAACGTCAATAAATCGAGCGCTGTGAATACAACAGCAACGGCCTGCCATCGACATGTGTGAGAAAAAAGACAAAACACGAACAACGACAGCATCATCGTTGAATGAAGGCCACACCTGACTCTTAACCAGGCATCTCCAGTACCATCACTCTTATCACTTCACCCTACCCTAGCATCAAGCAAGCTCACACCTCCCAAAAGGTGTCAAACTCAGCCCACGCCTCCTCTTCGCTCGCCTCCTTCTCCGCCAACTCCGACAGTAGTTTCAAGGCTGAAGCAGCTCTTCCCCCGCCTGCCTCCTGCAC